GGTGACATCAAGTTAGACTACAAACCACTACGTTAAGCTCCACAGAAGCTTCTCCATATTTTTAATTGTAGGCATGATACCTAGCATAATAAAATTTTCTGAAAATTGAAAAAAGTACCAAATTAACCCCCCAAGTACCAAGAAGGCAAGAATAGTGTAATTCTAGTTATTAAAAAAAAAAAAAAAAAAAAAAAAAAAAAAAAAAAAAAAAAACCTCTAATGAGGCCCCAACCTAAAGTGACTATAATATGACATATTCAGCAAGTTACTGCTAATGTAATACTAAGTAGTCTAACATGTGATGTTTTAGACTTAGCCACATAGGTGGATGTTGAGTATACTTTTTTTATTATTTTTATAAAATAAAATATATTTTTAATTCTTAATCAAAAGATATATTTTTATTTTTATTTGTTTGAAAAAAATCGTCGTTAGTCTTCTTCTATTGACAACCGTCAAACAAAATAGACAATAATAAAAAAAAAAAATGATATAGCTTAGTTTTTCCCTCAATTTTAAATGCGAACACATTTTCTTCCTTAGTTATCCTCAAAATTGTTATTTTTACTGAAATCAATTATTTTTTTACAATTGACATTTGAAAACCTAAATCTGATAGACATTTTAAGAATATTAGCTAAATCTTCCAATGCGATAATTCGTTTTACCCAAATATGTGAAACAGACAAGTTAATTTTTCTCAATTATTGTTTTCAAACACTAATTTCACGTCTAAAAACGAAATTTGAGAAAAATTATCTTGTCTATTTTGCCCACTTAAGTTAAAAGAATAATGACATTACAAAATTCACTTGATATTTTCTTTTTAAAAAATAATAATTTTAAATGTTTACTAGGAATAGTTAACTGGTTTGGATAAAAATAGCAACTTCGATAATAATTGTGGGAGAAATAGTGATGAACTAACTTATTGTTGTGGTTAATTATTCACTCGGGTTCTGTCTTTCGTTTTAAATTTAATATTTGTTTTAATATAGAAAGTTGAAGGTTTCCGATCTTGTTATAGTTGTTTTAGATTTTCCCCTCCAATTCCCCCCCCCCCCCCCCCCTCCCCCACCCCACGAATTTAATGCGGTTTAAACAAGAGTCTGGATGGAACACATGTCGAGCTTGCGACATGATCTAGACATGCTATTCATGCACGGTCGGGATGGCGACAATTGTATTGATCCCACGTGCCTTGAGAATTTGTACAGATCGCATGAAGATGATGTGACTATACAATCTGGTCAGTTATGCTCGGGAAATGATGCCGATCACCTTTGGTACGGTATCCAAACACAATTATATATTCGAGTTTGGTATAATCCCTATCACTTATATAATAAATGAGGGTAAATTAACTATTTCACTACAATTCATAAAGAAAAAATGGCATTTTCCCTTTTATAAATTAAATTGCATGATAAGTACTGTTTAAACGAAGTAGTTGAGAAAACATTAGGCAAACTTGATTTACCTCCTCATAGGTCTAAGGGCAGGTTCATGGGATTTAAGATATAATCCAACTTAACTTAGATACCTAGGTCATAAAAAAAAAAGTAGTTGAGAAAGTCAATCGCATATTTTTTTTTTAAATATGTTTTATTTTTATTACAACATCTACTGTTCTAACCGGAATATAATATGAATTGAGGTAAGCTATTCATGTCACATATATAAATAATTTTATCACTAATCAATTCTAACATAATATTCTTAAAGACTTGTTTCCTCTGATCTGCTACACCAACCGCTCAGATCATCCTCACCAACAAATTTAATTGTTAGGTGTTCAACAATATAATGTTGAAGTTGTTACTAAACCAAATAGCCATCCCATGAGTTGCCGGTTAAACATCCGATCAATTCACCCATTCTACAATGCCTTTATCATTATATGGACTGCTAGCTACAGAGTCATTGTTACCATATTATTATCACTTATCAGGACAAAACATCATATAGGAGGGTCCATCTCCTACACTTTCAACCACATACACTTCATTTGCACTGAAAATATAATTCTGCTTTATACTACAAATCATAGCCAAATACAAGAAAAATAATTATCACTTGACCTCAATATATTAATATTTTTATAGTAACGAAAAAACCCACAACCATTATTGGAAAGAGTGTGCAGTAGGTAAGTCCGACACATGTGTACTGTAATATTCAAAATTTATCTATTTGAATTAGTGTAGGGAAATAATGGATCCAATTAGTAACTAAAATTTAGTGGGAACAATGACAATATCTAATTAATAACTAAATTTTATTTTTAATAAGTGGTGATGCCAACCAATTCATGACAGTCACATTAAGAGAGAAAATATTGGAGGTGAAATTTAGGAGGGGAAGAATTCTTTTTTTTTTTTTTTTTTTGCCACAATTTTAAAAGAAAATGTCAGTCATGGAAAATTGGATAAAACTTTTTGCAGTTCCTCATCTTTATAAAGCATTGAGAATCAAAGCAAATGAAATTAAAATATTCAAATTGGAAGCATAACCTGCCAATGACTAAACACAAAACCTTGCCATGCCAGTTTTGGTGTTATTAGAATCACCTCTGCCTTTTCGCTCCCCTCCAAGAATTTCTATGGTATGACACAGTGAAGTAGCCAAGATTTTTCCTTGCGACATCTTTCATATTTTCTATGGATGTACATATAGACTGAGATAGGCTAGATATTATATTTATTTGTTTCGAAATCTAACCCAACTAAAAATTGATTGGAACTTGAATTTTATCTTTTCGAATGATGAGAGATAAACCTGCAATTACAACATTAGTGTGTGTACTGGGTAAGGGCAAATTATATCGTGCACCGCGGTGCATAATCGATTATGCACCGCACATCAAAACGACGTCGTTTTATTTAATGAAAAGAAACGGAATCCGTTTCGCGTCGTTCCGCAAAATATAACTATGTTTTTCAGTTTCATTTTGTATACACTGCATTTTCAGTTCAACACAACTACAATTTCATTTTGATATAACTACAGTTTTGTTCAATATTTATACACTCAAATATGTGAAAATGTTATTTAATTTTATTTTATATATACTATAGTTTCATTAAAACACAACTACATGATCATTTCGATATAATTACAGCTTCATTGTACAATATACACTCATATATGTGAAATGTTATTCAGTTTCATTTTATATATACTGCAGTTTCATTTCACCACAACTACAGTATCATTTTGATATAACTGCAGTTTCATTTGATAATATAAAAATAATACGTGAGGCAGTGTCGGTTTAGATACACTGTAGTGTCACTCCGTTAACACTAACAGCAAGCTGTTTCTTTACTTAAAGAAACGACGCCGTTTTGATGCGCGGTGCATAATTGATTATGCACCGCGGTCCACGATATAACGACCGCTGGGTAAGTGGGCAGATTTCTTGTGCGCACCGACATTTGGCCATGTCTGCTGAACCATTGAGTCACCGTGATTTACATCCTCCTAAATATCGGGCCGGGGTGTGGGGGCCCTTAGGGTTGGAGATTCAACATTTTGGGAGAAGAGTGTGTACTAGGTAAACCCAACCTTATGACCTTAGTTAATAAATGACTAAAAGGAGGTAAATCATCATAGGTCTCGGGCAACTCAGTTGATTTCGGGATAATAGATTTTAGGCAAAAACCCAAAATCAAGCCCTAGCAGCCACAATGTTGGAGTTACATTCATTGTGGAGGTTCCTTATGGGCACCAACCACCAGGTACTAGTCCCCACACTTAATACACATTGAGTTATCGTGATTTATCCATTCACTATTCTATTGGGCCGAGGTGTGGGGCTATAGAGACAAAGGAATTTCGCCTTTTGTAGACAAGCATAAGTTGTTCATAAATGACTATCTCAAATCAAGAATGCCACCGGCTCATATCGGTCAAATTTTACCCTTTTTTTTTTAATTAAGTTGATGCATCTCAATAAAATAAAATAAAAAAGAGAGGAATTGATTTAGCTTTGTGAACCAGCAAACTTCACGGCACGTTTGATAGTTAACGTTATGAAGCAAATGGTTACGCAGTAGTCAACGGATAGCTAGCTATTTTGGCTTGCAGATAAAGCATTTTTGACCTTCAATTTGGCTTGGCATTGCGACAATTGTGTTGCTATTTTACTTTCTGAATTATAATTTGTCACAATTGGAGTAAATAATTTTTATTATTTTTTTAAAGAGATTCATTTAGGCCATTTACCAACGACAAATTACTTATAATATATCCAAGAGAAAGTGTTTAGCTTTGAACTTTTGGTCAAGTTCCCCACACTCTCACCCCCAAAATACACCTTATTTACAAATAATAGAATCATTTTCATCCTACTCTTATTATACGTACAATTATGTATATTGAAACAGGGTCAGGTTTCCTTGCGGACAGTGCACCCGTACAGTCACGCATCAATAGGTATGCTTAAATGCACCATAAAGTATCTGAAAATGCATCATTTGGTGTGGTGTATTCTTTTGGTGTGTGGTAGTGTATTTGTGCATTTCATTCTGGTGTATTTTTGAGTAGTGTGTTGTATATTTATGCATACCTAATGGTGCAATACACTCTGGGCACAAAGAACCCTACTCTATTGCTGAAACAAGACTTCTACTTAAACCATTGAGCTAAATCATGGCGGGGTATGGCTAAATTATTTTAATATTAAAGACTCAGCATTCTAATTCCCAGAAGCATCCCTAACCCCAAGTTTCGATTCCGCGTATTGTTAAATTCTAGTCCTTATACGTTAATATAGGAGTTTACTCTGTATGTAGTCTACTAGCTGAAAATATACGCAAATCTTACACGGAGTAAGTGAGTTTCCGTTAAGTCCCAGATTCCATTGTCAACAACTTAAACAAATACGAGTAAAAACTTAACGACACAGAAATGTGGCGGTGGCGTTAGCCAAATCTCAGATTGGGCCCCACACTACACTGCCATGCTATAAATACCCTTCTTTTCCCCATTCTCACTTCACTCCCTCTTCCGATCCTCCATTGCACTTTCCGGCCTTCCATCGTTTCCGGCGTCAAGTTTTTCTTGAAACTATAGTTTTGGAGACCACGATGGTCGACGTTGACCGGAGGATGGCCGGTCTGAACCCGGCTCACTTAGCCGGACTCCGTCGTCTATCAGCCAGGGCGGCGGCGCCCAGCCCAGCGACGCCCGTTCCTCCTCGGAACAGCCTGCTGTCCTTCACTACTCTCGCCGATAAAGTCATTACCCACCTTAAAAAGTCTGGGGTTCAGGTGGAGCGTGGGTTGTCGGAATCTGAGTTTGCGAGAGCGGAAGCTGAGTTTAAGTTTGCTTTCCCTCCCGACCTCAAAGCGATCCTCTCCGCCGGCCTGCCGCTGGGTCCTGGCTTCCCCGACTGGCGGTCCTCGGGGGCCGCGCGTCTCCAGCTCCGCGCGTCCATTGAGCTCCCGATTGCCGCCATCTCTTTCCATATTGCCCGGAACGCTCTCTGGTCCAAGTCCTGGGGCTCCAGACCGTCCGACCCGGAAAAGGCAATCAAAATCGCTAGAAATGCTCTGAGGAGAGCTCCGCTTCTGATTCCTATTTTTAACCACTGCTACATTCCCTGTAATCCTTCCTTGGCGGGAAACCCCATTTTCTACGTCGACGAGAATCGGATTTACTGCTGCGGGTTAGATCTCATGGACTTCTTTGATCGCGAGTCTTCTTTGTTCCTCCGATCAATTAGCGAAATCTCCGCCGGCGATACTTCCAGGAGAAGAAGCCTTGACGCGCTCGCCGGCGGACGCACGCCGCGGTGGGTTGAGTTCTGGAGCGACGCCGCCGTGGATAGACGCCGGAGAAACTCAAACTATTCCTCATCGTCTTCCGCTGCTTCCCCTGAACGATTCTCCGGTATGCCCAAGTCCCAAGTCCCCATCTGGGTCAACGAGTATATAGACCAAATCGGGTCGGTTTTACGGGAAGGCGGGTGGAACGAATCCGACATCTCCGAGATCGCAACCGTTTCCGCCGCCGGTTTCTTCGAAGAAGAGATGGTGCTTCTGGACAACCAAGCCGTTCTCGACGCCCTCCTAGTCAAAGCCGATCGTTTCTCCGATTCGCTCCGGAAAGCTGGGTGGAGCTCCGACGAGGTTTCGTACGCATTGGGGTTTGATTTCCGAACGGAGAAAGTAAAGAAACCGACGAAACTACTCTCGCCGGAGTTGGTGGAGAAAATCGGAAAACTGGCCGAGTCGGTTTCCCTGTCATCATCATAGTCGTCGTCCCCTTTTCTGGTGCAACGGCCTTTTACTGGCTACCGGCAAACATGGAGATTCTTTTCTTTATCGTACTTTTAGATTTTCTAAACATCGGTTTACTTTTTTGCCTGTTTTTGGTTAAAAATAGATTTGAAATTAAAAAAAAAAAAAAAAAAAAACTATGCGATTTTTAAAAATGGTTGTAAAATTAGATGAAATGATTATAGTGCATGGGAGAAACCTCTGTAATTACGAATATATATAATATAGGACATATTACGGAATATTTGTTTTTATTTACATCATCTATATATTAATAAAAATATATTTTTAATACAATAATTGCATTATCTTATCTGCATAGTCACACACCAGTAATGAGTGTGAAGAACATAATTCGTGTCAGAAACTTTAAATTGTCGTATACATATTTTTATTTTCTACATAGTTTCCGTTAATTGATTATTAATTTTAAAAATAATTTTTAAAAATATTTTTCATGTTTAGTTAATCAATACACCTCACTAGAATGTATATACTTGTGTAAGAATATTGTTATAAATCTTTATGTATCTAAATTAGTTGAATTATTAGCTTGATAATTATAAAATTTTAAATTTAACTTCTAATTAAAATGTTCTATTAACTATTTGAATCGATTAACTATGAAAAATTTATATTAATTAAATTTATTATAATTTTTTTACTATAATTATGAGATGAGATTTATTCAAAATACATTTTAGACAGCGATAGTATGTTTTTCGCAAATCAAAATATAAGAATAATTAATAATATCCTAAAGTTTTATATCAATATGAAGAATTTCGGTAGTGGGCTGATCGGGTTGCATTGGGCTTAGCTTTTTGGAAAATTGTAAAGTGGCACGGGTTACGAAATGTGATGCGCACGTGTGAAACTGTGTGAAAATACTAAAGAGAAAGACGTTATTGGGTCCCACACCGCGGTCTTTGGAGCCTGGGGCATAGTCTGGAAATCTACAATCCATCAACTCAAAACTGGGATGATGATAGAGGGCAAATTATGCTGGGCATCCGTCTACATGGTGCAGGATGCAAAAATGATGTCATTTTGCATTAAAATGCGTGTTTTATTCAAAAAATAAAAATCAGTTTTAATACTCAGCAACATCATTATATTGTTCATTTTTTAGTTCATTCATTCTGAATTTTTAGTTATAAAATTATGGATGTATATGTATACAATTCTGGATTTATAGTTATGAAATTATGGATGTGTAATTATACATGGTGTAGTTATGCAATTATGGATTTTATAGTTATGAAGTTATAGATGTATATTTATTCAATTCTGCATGTATAGTTATGCAATTTTGGATGTATAGTTATGAAGTTATGGATGTGTAGTTATGTAATTTTAGATTTATAGTTATGAAATTATGGATGTGTAGTTATGTAATTCTGGATGTATAGTTATGAAATTATGGATATGTAGTTATGCAATTCTGATTTTTTTTTTTTTTTTTTTAAGTTAGACATCAAAACGACGTCGTTTTTGTATCCGTATGCACCATGCACGGTGCATACGGATGCACAACATAACGATTGATGATAGAGCCAACTAAATTGGCTAAGCATATAAATTTAGCAGAAAATGTTATATGTACTCTTATTTTTTACTCTCAAGTTATATTTTCACACATACAATTTTAATGTAGACACTTTGTACTCATAAATTTATAATTGAGTTAATACCCAAAATCGTCCTCGACTATAGTGGTTTTTCTCAATTTCGTCCTAAACGATTTTGGTGACCTAATATCGTCTCAGACTTTTGTGTTTCGCTCAATTTAGTCCCAAACTTTTGTGTTTTTGCTCAATTTAGTCCCTCATTTGTTATTCTGTCCATTTGGTGTTAAATAAATAGACAATTAGTTTTCAAAAAAAAAAATAAATAGACAATTCAGTAATTTTAATATTGGCATCTCTTTACTCATAGACATGTGAACTACGAAATCCTTTTTTTTTTTTACGAATTACTCCCAGAATTACTCCTAAAACTGCGAATATAAAATTTGATTTGCAGGTCCGGGAGTAATTCTGGGTGTAATTCGTACAAGAAAGAGGAATTTCGCACTTCACAAGTTGAAAGTAAAGAGAGATCAATATTGACATTACTGAACTGTCCCTTTATTTAACACCAATTTGACGGAATAACAAATGGAGGACTAAATTGAGCGAAACACAAAAGTCTGAGACGATATTAGGTCACCAAAGTCGTTTAGGACGAAATTGAGAAAAACCACTATAGTCGAGGACGATTTTGGGTATTAACTCATTTATAATTATAAGGTCAGAGTTTGAATTGTAATTTTTTTTTTTTTTTTGGTTTAAAATAGTCAATTATGAAAATCTAAATTAGTTTACCTCCTTACAATCATATTTGGTACACACTATTGAGTTCGATCATGTGACATTTCCTCAAAAAGAGTTACAGATATACCAATTAAGTATGAAATGTTTGGCAATCAATTTCCATTTAATTTTAGAAAAATTCAAAATTCATTTTTTTCTACATACTATGCTATAGGTATATTATACAAATATGATGAAATAATAATTTAGTATATTATTAATAAGATATAAGATATAATTGTTTTTAATATAAAACACCATATTGTTAATCTGCAATCCAATAGAATGGACAAGTTTACCATGACTTCTTAAGAGTTAATTCCACCAAAGGTCCCTTGTTTTTTGTGATAATTTTAAAAATTTAGTCTCAGATTATCATTTTTATCATTTAACATCCCAGAGTATTATTTTTTGGACACTTTTAGTCCTTCTCATGACTTTTTCTATATTTAGTAAGGGCGCTTTTGTCTTTTCATATTTTTTTTGGTTATTTTCCCAATTTTAACCGGTTTGATTGGTTTAGGACTTTAGGTAACCTCTGATTTTTAGTAATCATATTTTACAACCGGTTTTAGTAAAGTCCTAAACCAATTATACCAGTTGAAACTAGAAAAATAACAAAAGAAAAATATGAAGAGACAAAAACGCCCTTACTAAAAATTAAAAAAAAAAAAATATATGAGAAGGACTAAAAGTGTCCAAAAAACAATAGTCTTGTATGTTAAATGACAAAAATGATAGTATGAGACTAAATTTGGAATTTTCACCAAAGACATGAGACCTCTGGTGGAATTAACTGACTTCTTAATGCTCAATATTGCCAAGCACCTTGTGCTCATATAGTACCTCTATGACTTCCCTTGAAGGAAGGTCACAGGATCGAACCCTAGTGGAAATTTGCAATAGTTAGAGAAAGTATATAACATATACTACCTTGTAATAGAGTCAATAGTATTAAAAAAAAGAGTTAATACCCAATATAGTCCTTGACTATAGTGATTTTACTCAATTTAGTCCTAAATGACTTTTTGTGCTCAATTTAGTCATCAACTTTTTATGGTTTTATACAATTTAGTCCTTAGTTAAAAATTCTGTTAGTTGACTGTTAGAAATAGAGTTCTAATGGTAATTTCTCATCCTTCATCCCATTTAGGATGATCCCTTCTTCTTCCCTTATTAAGATCTACGCAGAAATGCAAATCTTCGTACCCAAATTTAACTTCAACCTAAATAAATAAATACTGAGTAAATAAAAATTGGGGTACAAAGATTTACATTTGTGTGTGGATCTTAGTAAGGGGAAGAATGAGGAATTATCCCAAATGGAATGAAGGTTGAGAAATTACCATTAGGACCCTATTTCTAATAGTCAACTAACAGAATTTTTAACAAAGGACTAAATTGTGTAAAACTATCAAACTCGATGACTAAATTAAGTACAAAAAGTCATTTAGGACTACATTGAGTAAAACCACTATAGGGTATTAACTCATTAAAAAAATGTCCAATCATTAATACAATGTTCAAATTCTTAAATTCACTCTTTCCTTATTTGTTATATACTTTGCTTTTTTTTCTTTTTTTTTGTGGTAAAAATATTGTGACAACAAGTTTAAAAGTATACACACAACTACACAAGAGATATATTTCCCATATAAATAATTAATCAAAATCTTAATATCATGTTAAATTTTATTTTTTTTAAATAAAAAATAGTTTCAAATTTTTAAAAATATACTTAACATATAATAGAATCATTTTCAAATAATTAATTGTTACAATTATTTTAAATTTGCACCAAATACATTAGAGTTTATCTATAATATACACCATATATATTACTATATTAGGATACTAAAACTGCCCTAGGAAGGAATAATGGTACATTGTATTTGCTTTATAGGAAGTGACATAAATGATTGTAGTTCCCACTGTTAGAGCATCCGCATTAGTTGGAGATATTGTGGGGAGGATGTAAGAGTGATTAAGAAAGAGAATGTGGGATGGGAGAGAAAAAAAGAGGAAAAAAAGAATAAAATTGAATTTTATAAAAATAAAATAAAAAAGTTAATGCGTCAGGCGCGTAGACTCAGTCTTTTTTTTTTCTTTTAAAAAATAAAATAAAAAAGTTATTTTTTTTCTTTTCTGACATTAATTGGGTCTTTGCAGGACAAATATTTTCTAAAATAACCCCACCCCAAATTTGCTATTAACCCCACTCAAGATAAATGATCAGACATTAACCCCCATTTCACCTTTGATGTGGATGCTCGTGTAATTAGACTATTAGAGCATTTTCATTAGTTTTTTTTGTTTTTTTTGTTTTTTTTTGTTTTTTTTGTTTTTTTGTTTTTTTTTTGTTTTGACTTTTTGGAGTTTTTTTTGTTTTTGTTTTTGTTTTTGTTTTTTTTTTTGTTTTTTCAAATTTTGTTTGAGATGAAGAAGAGATGAGAGTAGGGGTGACTATGGTTCCGGTTCCGTGGATGGCGAAATCGGAACCGGAACCTTATAGTAAGGTTCCGGTTCCGGTTCCGATTGGAACCGCCGGTTCTAACCGGAATTATTATAAAAAAAAAACTATAATATTTATTTTTTTCCGGTTTGGAACTGGAACCGTCGATTCCGGTTCCAAGATTTTACAAACCTTAACCGGAACCGTACGAACGGTTCCGGTTCGCATAGTCACGGTTCCGGTTCGAACCTACGGTTCGAACCGGAACCGTGGTCATCTCTAGATGAGAGACAAGAGACGGGATGAAACATGTTTTTGATACAAACATATTAATATTTTATTTAATACTTTCACATAAAACACGTAGGAAAACAAACTACCACTGCAAAATATCAACATAAGCTTGTAAGATCAAGAGTTCATAGTACAACTAAGATCCCAGTCATATAC